TGCCATTGACAGGTAGGGTACCTTTAAGCTTACCATTTTGTGAAGTTCCTTGTCACCCCAGTCGGTGACTTTCTACTCACTAGCCCTGAGGCATCTCAGTGGATGACTTCAGGCATGCTCCAACTCACTAGCTCTAGTCTGACAGCCTCATCCATATCCTCATCAACAAGGTCTAAATCTCAGCCTTCAAGAGAGGAGAGGCCATGTTCCACATTTGTTAATTCCTTGGGTTGTATTTCTCAGCCCTTGATTTAGTATCTTTTTCTACATTTACAATTCTTACATTCATTTATTCCTTTTAATTAACCAACATCTTACTAGTCAATAATTCTTTATATTAAATTTTCTCTGTTCAAACTATTAGTGTGATTTCTGTCTTAACTCAACCCTGACTGATACAGAGTTAGTACTAGAAGTGACCCTAGAAGAGAGAGGGTCAAAACTGAATTTGGCATTGATTTGGTCATAGCCTCAGACTGGAGTATAGTGCTGAGTTCCTGCCAAATGATACGTAGAATGCTTGCAACCTATCCATGCATTGGCATCATAATTAATCAGGCTATAAAAATATTTTCCTCAAAATCAGAAATTTCTTCTGAATTGCTTATGATAAGGAGTCCTGGTGTGGCCCTGTAGGATTAGCACTGGATTGCTAACCACAAGGTTGGTGGCTCAAATTTACCAGCAATGGTCATAGTGGAAACTGAAAGGTAAATTATGTCATGGCTGTTGTTAGATGCCATCAAATTAGTTCTGACCCATAGAGACCCTGTGTACAATGGAATGAAACACCACTCAGTCCTTTGCCATCCTCATAATTGCTGCTACGCTTGAGCCCATTGCTGCTGCTACTGTGCCAATCCATCTCAATGAGGGTCTCCCTCTTTTTATGCTGACCCTCAACTTTAGCAACATAATTTCCTTCTCCAGGGACTGGTCTTTCCTGATGATATATCCAAAGTTTGAGAGATGAAGTCTGTCTATCTTGGCTTCTAAAGAATATTCTCTTGTACGTTTAATAACTCAGATTTATTTGTTCGTCAGGAAGTCAATATTACCTTTAATATTCCTCTCCAACACCATAACTCAAATGGACCAATTCTACAGCCTTCCTTTTTCATTGTCCAACTTGCACAGGCATATGAGATTGCTGAAAATTATGTCATAGAGGGTTCATAAATTGATAATTTTAGAGACAGAGTGCTTATGAGTGATCAAAAGGTATAATTATGGGAAATGCTGGTTGATGTGGAATGGAGAAAATAGAACTAGAAATGAAGATGCCAATAAACTAATGAGTCATGTGGACTTTGATGTCACCCATGTTATAGAGCAAAGAGAATGGCTAAGTCAGGTACTAAGGTGCATGATAAGTGAGGGAGGATAACCTGAAGGAACAGAAAGTTTAAAAAAGACTGAAGGAATAATAATCTGGAAACAGCAAAGGGGAGCATGAGCCACCAACCCATTCTCCAAATAGGAGAGTACATGGTGCTGTAAGATAAACCCTGGACTGCTATCCACAAGGTTGAAAGTTCATACCAACCAGCTGCTCCTCAGAAACCCTACATAGGGGCTCTATGAGTTGGAACCAATTCAAAAGCACTTAACAACAACAACAACAATTTAAAGTCTTTAAGCCCGATTCTCAATATATTAATAAAATATAATAAATTTAGAAATACATTTTATCTTTGAAAAAGCCTGACTCTCAAAACTGTCATCTCAAGACTCAAGCTAAACAATGATCACCTTGTTTTTAGGTATTATCTCCTATCCTCCTAAAGAGAGTAAAGAAACAAGTCAGTAGGTAGGAAGTCTTGAAGCAATATTTGAAGAATATGAAAATATATATGATCTGTCAGCAGCAGACATAATTTTTTTTTCTCTGAACTTCTTTTTTTGAGCTTTTACTGTGAATTGAGTGATAGTTTACAGAGGGGAACATCAGTTTTACACTCAGCCTGTCATATTTGTTTCATTGCAATGATTATAATCCCTTGCATGCTTCATTGTTCAACAGTATTTCCTTCTGTTCCCTCTGTTTTTCTGTTTGTTTGTTTTTTGTGGGGGGCAGGGGATGTGTACCAAAACACTCAGGAATATACAATCATTCAAACAGCCAAAGGGCACATCCTGCAAGCCTGCCCTCCGGCTGCCAGCACACATCCCCTCTCTCCTACATGAATCTAGAGTCCTCAGCTGCTCTGTCACTCCATGTCATCATCTCTGCCTCTATCTCTGGCATTGCCACTTCTATGGGTAGGGTCCCACACTTCCTTCCTGTTCTTCTTCCCTGATGGTCCCAGGGTCCTCCGCTCCAGGACTGTAAGTTCAACCACTTACCCTTTTTTGCTACAAAACTTCGACCTTTACATCTGTGACAATAGTATTTAGTCATGATAGCAAATACTCACTATTGAATCATGAGAGTCTTATCCCCATCTCCTTTCACCAAACGTGTCTAGACAGGATCAAAACCACTCAGTGGTTACATGCCTGCTTGTGTATTCCCTTTGCGTTTCAGTCTTGGGAGGGTTTTGTCCTTGGGACTTGATAGCCTTGATGACTTCCCAGCGAACAACTTGCTTGTTCTTGTAGTAGCCAATCAGACTGCCATTTTTGTTTGTCTCTGCTGGTCTTTCTGTCAAGAAGTATCTTCTGTTCCTGTAGCTGCTCCAGGCTGGCTTGCTTGTCTTTTCAATTGGGTCTGAAATTAAAAACAAAACAAAACAAAACAAAAAAAAAAACATTTCATTGTGAATTAAGTGAAGGTTTATAGAACAGTTCACCTATTCCACATTCAATCTATTCCATCATAAGCTTAATATGATTACAAGATTGCAGTCCCTTCTATGTACCATCAGTTAATGTTATTTACTGCTATTCACTTTAAGTTTTGCACTGTTCCATGTGTCATCCACTACCTTCATCTTTCCTATGCCAATACCCCTTTTGTTGTATATTGCCTTCAACACCATCCAAGTTAACATGTGTGTACTCTCTATCCAGTGATTAACTTTCAATTCCCTACCACCTCTGGTAAACATCATAGAATGTTTCTTACAGCAAGAAACCTTTTCTTAACTTTTTACAACAGTGGTCTTATAGGATATTTGTCTTTTTGTGATTGAGTAATTTCACTCAGCATAATATCCTCCAGGTTCATCCATGTCATGAAGAGTTTCACAGATACATCATTATTCTTCAGTGCTACATAGTATTCCATTGTGTATATATACAAAAGTTTTTATCCATTCTGTCTCTTGACAGGTGCACTTAATCCATTTTCATTGAGTGTTTGTTTTTCCTTTCACTGTTTTGTTATTTTTGTTTGTTTATCCTTCCTTGTCCTTCTTTCTGTATTTCTCTTCCTTTGATTTTACTCTCTGTTTTTGTTTTTTCTTTTGTTTCTTATATCCACGCTCTTCTATTTTTACTCTTGATTTTTCTTACTACTCTCCAGTCTCTTTCTCTTTTCAGAGTCATCTCTGTTTTTTTAGTACTTTTTATCTCTCCCTTTTTTTCTCTCTCTTACTTTTATTTTGCACACCTCTGTTTTCCTATCCTTCTTTTCTCTTTATCCTTTTTTGTTTTTGTTGTTGCTGCCCATTTTTATTTCTTTTTTCTCTTTTAGTGTATTGTTTTCCTGTTCTTTGTTCTGTTTTCCTGTATGTGTTTCCTCCTCTTGTCCCACCTGATGGCAAACAGCAATCATGCCCATAGAGCTCAGCCACATTTGTACCCTTTACAGCTCAACCTACTGGACACAAGCCAATACTAGTTCCTATTCCAGCTGATCAGTGATAGACATCAGCCAATGCCAGCAAAACATATCCAAAACTCACCTGCATATAGACTGTGGGAATAAAATGAATATGTATAGAAAACAGGGGCTCAACAAATAGTGATACACCAATGTTTGTTAACCCCAGAAAACATTGGGGTCTATGGACAGAATTCCTCCAAGGAACTCACAAGGTGGTGTAAGAGGAGTGGGACAACTGAGTACCAAGCTCCAGATGGAATTCCTATTGAGCTAGGCTGTGCTAAGAACACCCAATTCATGGAACCCTTCAGATTACTAGTTTCCAAACCAAAGGGCAATTAGGGCAGAGTGGCTGATTATGAATTCAGGCAGGTTCTGCTCCAGATCTCTAGAACCCACACAGCCTGTCTGCCTCATCCAACGTCTTGCTGGAAGTCTAGTAGACATATATTTTTGAGGCAGTTTTCTCATAATGAATACAATAGATGCTGATCTTAACTGGAAATGCTATCGAATAATAATATGCCATTTTAAGATCTTGAGCTAAAAATTCAGCTGAATGTACAGTCATAGCATAAATTTAATGAAATCAATCAATTTGATCATCTAATTTATCTTGGATGTATTTGTGTTTTACTATAATTATTGCCAGCCAATCAAATTCAAAAGTCTTTCCTCGGAAACCATACATATACGGTCTCTATGAGTAGGAATTGACTTGACAGCATTTAACAACAATCTAACCATACATATTTTATTAAAAGGTTGGTTCTTAAAGTCTAGAGATGATAAAACTAGGCTTAAATGTTATCTTACAGAAAAATAAAAGTATAAATGTTTCCCTTAATTTATTGGCTCCTTTTTTTTTAGTTCACTAGAATAGCAGGTAAGTGGGTGAAGTACTCCTATTCAATAAATTTCATTAATTTTTTTAAGTTAAGGATTTCCTATTATAATTTTTATTGTTTGCAGTACTTGCAAAGTAATTTATTTTTAAAAGATTATATAACTTAAATTTCACTGGGCTTCAAACTCATGTTGTTCTTTAAAAGAAGTTAAATGTATTTATAAATTCTAAACCATCTTTCATCATTTGTTATATTTAATTATTTTTGTCACTTGACACCTCAAAAACTGAATTGTTGGATTGAAAGAGCTATTCTGCTGAATTTAGCTAAGGGTGAACATTAAAAGTTCATTTTGAGTTATGTTTCTATTTGACTTCTCTTAGGTATTTGGATTTGCTCAAGAACACAACCCTTATTAAAAGTCAGGATGTGTTCACAGTCATCCGATATATCTCATATAACAGCTATGGGAAGAACATGGCCTGGAATTGGATAGAGCTCAACTGGGAATATCTTGTCAACAGGTGGGATAATCAGATAATGGTTTGGTGTTTCCTTTGTTTAATGCCATTTGCAGATTTTCTTTTCTTTTTTTTTTTCTTTCTATTTGTTGCACTTTCTTTGATATCTGAAATGGTATATTACTCTTTGATCATTGCATTTTCTTTCTATGGGAACAATAAGCTAGTTGATTTTAAGCACAATTCTTTTTCTAAATTTATTTGTTTCCAGTGATCAAATTGTTTCTAATAATCAAATAAGATTCTAAGACCTAGAGATAAGACAAAACTATATTATTTTTCATTTGGCAAAAACAAGTTAATATAATCCTTGTTTTGCACTAGCACCTGACACAATGACAGGAACAGTTAATGTCAGTTCCAACCCATAGCTACCCTGTATAGGGTTTCCAAGGAGCAACTAGTATGCTTGAACCACCAACCTTGTGGTTCAAACTGACTTTGCAGTCCAGAGCATTCACCCACAGCACCACATCAGGACTAGAACCATATATTTTACTGACCTTGTATGAGTAATAACTGATCTCCCTTGACCAGGTAAGTAAACTTGAGGTCTTTTGCATAGAACTTACAACTCACTGCCATTGAGTTAATTCCGATTCATAGTGACCCTCAGGGACAGAGTGGAACTGTTTCTTACAGTTTCTGAGATTGTAAATCTATATGAGAACAGAGAACCTCATCTTTCTCCCACACTTAAGACGAACCTGTATTTCCCAGGCAACAGCAGTTTTAAAATGTTAAATAGTAAGAACAAGAGCAAAACCAAGGGAAGAGTTGTTTTTTAAAAAATTCTTATTTATTCAACCTTACAGAAGAGAAAGATTTCATTCTTGAATTCAGTCCTCCAAAATTAAATGCTAAATTTCCATTAAAAATGTATGTTTTTAACAAAGTACAAAATAGTCATATATGCCCCAAACAATAATTAATAGAATTTTCATTAAAATTTGGATAACAAAAATTCAACTGAAATGAAGCAAAACTTCACCCCAGTATTTCCAAACTTTTATGTTTTTTTCCAAATTTGAAAACAAATAGTTTTACTCTTCCCATTTTTAAACAACTTATTGTAATCCTAAATAAATAACTGAATTTTTAAAACATAAACAATTGTTTTGTGATTTTCATGACAACTGATGATGGTGCTATTAATGTTTTTGCCAATTTGAGATTTAACCCCAAAGTACCAAAGACAAGAGTCACAGTATTTATTTAACCTACTTATTTTTAGCTATAAAATACGTTCTTTAATATTTAGTCACAAAGAACAAAACCATGCTTGTCTGTCAGGTTTTTGTACTTTGGTGACTTGCATGTTGCACTAATGCAGCTGGAAGCTATGTCATCAGTATTTCAAATACCAGCAGAGTCACCCATAGTAGACAGCTTTCAGTGGAACTTCCAAAGACAGAATAGGGAGACAGAAGAGGCCGTCCAATTCTGAAAAATTACCCACTGAAAGCCTTATGAATAGCAGTGGAACGTTGTCTGTATAGTGTCAAAAGATGAGCCCCTCAGATTGGAAGACAATTAAAATACAGTTTGTGAAGAGATGCTGCCTCTAAGTAGAGTCAATGTAATGACGTGTATGGAACAAGGCTTTGGGTACTCATTTGCTGATGGAGTATGACTCAAAATGAAAAGAAACAGCTGGAAACAGATATGCTGAGCAAATAATTTGAGAAATTGAATTATATGAAGAAGAACTTGACATCAGGCTTGACTGAAGGCTCATTAACAACCTGCAATATGCAGGGATATAACCCTACTTGGTGAAAGTGATGAGGACATAAAATACTTACTGATGAAGATCAAAGACCACGGCCGTCAGTATGGGTTGCACCTCAATTAAGGAAAACAAAAATCCTCACAACTGGACCAATATATAACACCATAATAAATGGAGAAAGATTGAAATTGTTAAAGACTTCATTTTGCTTGGATCGACCATCAGTACTAATGGAACCAGCAGTCAATAAATCAGATGGCATATTGCATTAGGTAAATCTGTTGTACAAGATCTCTTCAAAGTGCTCAGGGGCAAAGATGTCAGTGTGAGGACTAAGATGCACCTGACCCAAGTCATGGCATTTTCAATAGCCTCATATGCATGTGAAAGTTGGACAGTGAATTAGGAAGATCATAGAAGAATTGGTGAATTTGAGTTATGGTGTTGGAGAGGAATATTAAAAATACCATGGACTGCAAGAAGAACAAACAAATTTGTTATGGAAGAAGTATAGCCAGAAGTCTCCTTAGAAGCCAGGATGGCAAGAGTTCTTCTCATATTTCAGATATATTAACAGGAGGGAGCAATCCTTGGTGAAGGACATCATGCTTGGTGAAGTGGAGGGTCAGCAAAAAAGAGGAAGACACCTAATGAGATGGATTGGCAAAGATGCATCAGCAATGGTTTCAAGCATCACAACAATTGTGAATATGGTGCAGGACCTTTCAGTGTTTCCCTCTATTGTACACAGGGTTGCTATGAGTCAAAACCAACTCAATGGCATCTAATAACAACAACAAGCTGCCTATGACTCTCCTTTGGTAATTTGAAGTGCAGATTGGTTCAAAGAAGTTACAGTACCCTGTCAAGTACTACTTAAAGTTTAAGTAAGTTGAAAGTTGAAAAATTTATGAATTACTGACATGAAAACCATTGATAACCTTAGAAAAAGTTTTTCAGTGGAATATTGGAGACCAGAACCCACTTTATAGCAAATTTGTTGTTGTTGTTGTGAAGTGTCGTAGAGTCGGTTCTGACCCATAGCGACTCTGTATAGGGTTTCCGAGGAGCAGCTGGTGAGCTTGAACTGCCTGGTGAACTTGAACTGCCGACCTTGCAGTTCAAATGGCTTTACAGTCTGGCGCATTAACCCACAGCATCACACCAGGACTCCTTATAGCACATTAGATTAGTAATAAAGAGATGAAAACAAAAAATGTAGAGAAATCTCTTGGAAAATGTTGACTATAAATGAGGAGAGAAAAAGGATTTAAGTGTAGAGATATCAGATCAAAAAGGAGGGTTTTTTTTTTTTTAAATCTAAAATATATCTTAACATATATAACAGATTTTAAAGTGTTGATGAATAACAGCCAGTGCATAATGAGATATTTAACATGTAAGAGGGATTTGTTTACGTTAGCTTTTAAATGGGTCGGGGTGGGAACAAAAAGCGCATGCGATAGTAGGAGGGTAGATGGATTTATAAGTTTGTAAGTTGCATAGTGGTTATGAATCGGGCTGCGAACCGCAAGGTCAGCAATTCGAAATTACCAGCTGTTCCGCGGGAGAAAGATGAGGCTTTCTGCTCCTGTAAAGATTCACAGCCTCGGAAACCCTGTACAGGGTCGCTATGAGTTGGAACCGACTCCGTGGCACAAAGCCACCACCAAGCTACTGTCACAGAATCAATTTCAACTCACAGTGACTATAGGCTAGGACTGATGAAAATTACTCCATAGGATTTCTGAGACTGTAAATCTGAATGGGGACCTCATCTTTTTCTCTTAGTGTGACTAGTGGGTTTGAATCATCAACCTTGAGTTAACAGTCCAGTGCTGAAGCCACTGCACCACCAGCCCTCTTTCCATAAAGATTACAGCCTTGGGAACCTTATGGGACAGTTCTATTCTATTCTATAAGGTGCCTATAAGTCAAAATCTATTTACTCCAGTGTATTTGGTTTGGGTTTTATTATTTATGTTACAATTATTTTTCCCAGTTAGTTTTTTACTTTTAATTTTGTTTATAGCAGGTTTGGGGGCTTTTGTTGTTGTTATTGCTTTTTAGTATAAAATTCTTACTTGGTATACAATGACCTTTACCAGTTTTTATCTTCCTGGTATCTGCTTTTATTGTATGCTACTTTTTAAATGTACATTTCCTCTTACTGCTTTATTATCTCTTTACATATAGATATATATTTTTATATCCCTCCCAAACATTCCAGGTTTTATACAAAAATTTTTCCAGTGGTTTTTCTTGTATGATGACAAGTCGTGATAGAATTTTCACACGTATCACAACTACTTTTACTTTAGTCTGTAGGACAACTTCTGATTCTTGCTCTTTAAAAGAAACTATGCAAAAGGGACAGAAAATTCTCTAGAAATTTATTTTGGCATCTAGCTTCAGATATCTTTACTTAGCCAGCCTGATACACATCATAACTCCAATCTTGCTAATAGCTAATAAAGTTTTTGGAAAATTCAACAAATATGCAGGAAGAATGACAGTGTGTGGTTCAGATAAAAGCCAAGCTGTTATAACAGACACCCAGAAATGCAGTGAGTTAAGACTATGGTAACTGGTGATCTTGAAAAGTGGATGGCTCTGCACTATGAGGCAATTCAAGGACTTAGATTCTTTCCTTCTTTCTGTTCAGTCACATCCTGGGCATTATTCTACCTCTGTGGTTGAAGCTGGATCTAGAGTGCCCATGTTCTAGCTTTGGGGAAAAGGGAAGAGGAAAAAGGTTGTCTGAAGAACCAATTTTCCTTTTTTTTTTTTTTTTTGAAAAAAGGAAGGGTGGAAGTTGCAAGAAGGCAAAAGTTGCATATATCTCTAGTGCTCATATTTCATTGGTGAGAACTGGGACACATGTCTAAACCTCTCTGTGAGGGGGATTGAGAAATATAATCTCTAATTGGGTGCTCATTTGTGGTGGAAAAAAGGAGACCCGACTTGAAGAATGCAATTAGTAGTCTTCTACAGCTTGGAAAATGGTATGAATTTGTCTATAGAGGTCCATAATTTACTAAGAGTTACTTTTGAAAGTAATTATTTTAAATTAAATGTAATATTATCTGCCAAATACCTTTAAAAAAAACTGACAAAAGGGAACACCTACATTTAGAGAAAAGATGAAAATTCCAGCACTTACACTCTGTAATACCTCTAAATTTTTCTCCAGATTTACCCTCAATGACAGAAATCTTGGCCGGATTGTCACAATAGCAGAATCTTTCAACACTGAACTACAACTCTGGCAGGTATGAAGATAAATCCCTCTATAGTATGGTCTGAAGGAGCTCTGGTAGCATAGTGGTTATGAATCGGGCTGCGAACCTTAAGGTCAGTGGTTCGAAACTACCAGCTGCTCCGTGGGAGAAAGATGAGGCTTTCTACTCCTGTAAGGATTTACACCCTCGGAAACCCTGTTCAGGGTCGCTATGGGTCGGAATCGACTCGATGGCACTTAACAACAACAACAACAATAGTATGGTCTAATTTTTTTTTTTTTTCTAAATAGAAATGATGGTTTCTCTAGTCAAATCACAGAAGAAATTGAGAATGAATTAATTCTTGTATCTAATAAAGAGTGATTTTTTTTTTTTTCTGAACTGAAAAACAAAACAATGATCAAGAAACAAAAACAAAATTTTAAAGTCAAGAAAGGTGAGGCCTTGGAAGGCTTAGACGTTTACAGGAGACAATTCAGTTTACCAAAGTGTGAATAGTATGTCTCCCTTTTTCAGGTCGATATAACCCTGGGATAAGTTCATCAAGAGTACTCAGAATGCATAATGTCAATGTAATTTCCAATTACTAACGTTTCAGATATCTCAGTTCTCAGGAAAACAATGTGTTTATTTATGTTGGACAAATAGAGATTATATGAATTTTTTATATCTGTGTATTAGATTTTGTTGTTGTAACATGCTATTGAGGCAGTCCAGACTCATAAATGACCCTGTGTAGGGTTTCTGAGGAGCAGTCGATGGGTTTTAACTGCCAGCCTTGTGGAGTCCATTAGAATGTTAAAAAACAAAATAATTCCTATTTTTATAAAGTGCAAATAATACTATGATTAAGCTTTGGAGAGTGTTTTAGAAAGAAGGTAAAATCACAGTTTTTTGTTTTGTTTTATTTTGTTTTAATGAGCCATTAGTAAGTAAACTAAAAGTATTTTAAAATACTCCAGATTCCTGGGGTGAACGACTAAGCAGGACTATCATTCCACAAACCAAATTTTGCAGGGAATGCACAAAATAGATGGAAACCAGTAGAAGCAAAAATGGGCACTCAGCCTGATATGCTACTCTCCTTCCCCAACATGTCAGATCCCTTTTGGTTTACAAGCTGCCAGGGTACAAAAGCCATGGCTAGTGATTGCTAACCTGAGAGATGGGGCCTCAGTCTGAATGATGGTGCAAGAGATATATCTCAATGTTGTTAAGTGATATTGAATGTTTACATAACGAAACAAATCCAGTTTGTATCTGAAATGACTGAAGATAAATTGAGTTTAAAATGACTTCGTTAGTTATTATTTCCCTTACTTTTCTAGATGGAGAGCTTTTTCAACAAATATCCAGAAGCTGGAGCAGGAGAAAAACCTAGGAAGCAAGTGCTGGAAACAGTGAAAAACAATATTGAGTGGCTAAAACAGAATAGAAACACCATTAGAGAATGGTTTTTGGATTTACCTAGGAATGGTTAATGGGTTCAAGTAATATATTTTAATTTTGTGAATGTGTCACTTCTCCTGTCAAGCATTTGGCAACTTGATTTATAAGAACTATGGAGGGAAGCTTATAAATAGATACTACTTCCTAAACTTTTAAACTGTTCCTCTTTGTTTATGAAGCAAGATACTAATAGAGTGTTTAATACACTCAGGGATTTCTCCTAAGTGTGCTTCATAGGAGATTCTTTACAAACTGAAGAGACTTTTATAGTAATTTTAATGTCTTTAAAATCATTCTTTTTATCTTAAATCTGTGAAAATAGAACATTTTAGTCTTAGCTTTGCATTTTTAGTGCCAAAGAAACACCACTTAATCTTCTCTCTTGATTGATTTTTTTAAAGTTTAAATACCAGTACTTGAGGGACCAAAATTACCATCTTAATCTTTATTTTATTATTCAGAATTACACAGGCCTAGTATCATTTTATTCACATATGTCTTACTACTTTAAATCCTACCAAAGTAACCTGGGCTTAAATTTAACTCAAAGATTCATGAATTAGCTAAAAATAAAAAATAAAAAAGGCTAACTGTTGCCTTTATTCTTATGAAATCAACAAGAATACTCCTCTCCTTCTTAAAATAAATCGAAATGATTATCTGGGTGGGAGGTAGGGCTGTTTTCTAGTGTCTATTTTGTTTTGGGGGGGTTTTTGTCACTTCATGTTTGAATAAAAATTGTTATAGCCTTCTTTAAATAATTTAGCATGTCTCAAATACGATTCAAGAACCCCAGCCTTTTTCATGCTTTGATATTCATTCATCTTGTTCAATTCCCTACAAAGCTCCTTCAAATATGCTATGAAATTAGAGGGAACATAGTGCTTAACTTTGCTGTATAGATTTTAGAGGGGAAAAGCTAAATAATTGGAAACTAGTTGGGAAAGGGGAAAAAGCTGATTGTTCTATAAAACTAAATGGAATTAGAATTTGGCTTTGACCTAGCAATCTCAGTGTGAAAATGTGGAAACCCATAGACATCTTGAGCATGACTCTGCATATCTGAGACTATATCTTCTTGTAGATAAGAAGTTTTATATATAAACCCTTAGATCCAAATCCTTACAAAATAGCACTGATCAAATTTATATGCATGACTTGACTAAAGACATCAATTTCTTCAAAAGCTGGTAGCAAGAATATATTTAATATGTCACCCAATGCCTAGTAGACCCATGATATAATTTCAATAGGCTGAAAAGATGGTAAATTACTATATTCCAATCTACTCTATCTTAAAAAATCTAAATTTATTTGGAATCTTCAGAAGTATCAAGTAATTTAAAATTGGTGTGATGAGAATCAAAACACATGGGCACAACCAAAATCTTAGCTTTAGCAACACTGGAAAATTCAAATGTTGGCTGGAGTTGGGGATAAGGAGGGAAGAAATTATAAAACAAATTCTTTAAAAAATATTATTTTAAATTTGCTCAGAAGAATAAAACACAGTAACACCATAAATTAACAAGAAAACACCATTATCCTCTTGGCGATTAACACCCTACTTTTAAATTCTAACAAGAACCAGTACTGGAAATGCACTGTTTTAAGAAAAAAAAATTAAATGGGATGGTTTATCTTTCTACTTCATGAAATAAATAAGGAATACATTTTAAGGAAATTAATATTTAAATACAATTTAAAATAAATTTTCAGAAAAAAATATATAAGTTTGAGGGAAATAAGTAAAACGGTTTCCAACTTGCCTGAAATTTATTCTGTTTCATTTCATTTCAAGCACTAAATATGACAATGAATTTTTTGTTCTCTTCAAAACAACGGCATGTTGTCACAGTAATTCTATTCTCAAGCAGTATCTGGTTCTGAAATCTGGTTTTACCAAGATCGTCTAATGGTTTTGTCAAGAATTTCACAAGAAAAAAAAAAAAATTAATGCATTGTTTCCAAAATTAAACCACAATAAAACCATTAACTTCGAACAAATTAACTAGAAGAAATGATCAGTTTTATAAGTTATAAAATCTTATGGCAAGAAGCACAGCCAAGTTATCATTGCCTCACCTTTAGGCAACTGGTTGCTATGCTTCTATATAAACAAAAACTAAGAGTTCTGTGTTGTAGGAAGTGCAGCCAGAATGCTCCTTGGAGGCCAGGATGGCCAAACTTCATCTCTCATACTTCGGACATATTGTCAGGAGGGACAAGTCACTGGAGAAGTATATCATGTTTGGTAAGGTGGAGGGTCAGAGAAAAAGAAGAAGACCCCCAGCAAGATGGATTGGCAAAATGGCAGCATCAATGGGGTCAAGCATGGCAACAATTGTAAGGTTGACACAGGACTGGGAAATGTTTCGTTCTGTTGTGCATAGGGTTGCTATGTGTCAGTACCTACTCAATGGCACATAACAACAACAACAACAACAAGAAGAGTTCAAATAATAAACCACGAATATCAAATTAATAATTGAAGAAAGACTGGGGAGCCATGATATATGGTTATAGCTACTTTGAAAATAATGGTGTTCCTTCCATTTAATCTCCAGGTTGGTGAATGTAAATGGGGTAGGGGAAAATGTCAAAAACATTAATTCTTGGAGGGGACTGGGGGATAAGTAAGGAGCAGGAATAGAGGTTCTAAAATTACCAATACAGTTTTCAAAAAATATGACTTTAGAGTAAAATGAATCTATCGATCGAACTATAGATAGATGATTTTTTTTTGCCAAGCACTGTTCTAAACACTAACCTGCTCCTATGTCATTCTCACTGACTCATAAATTATTTGAGTGTGTTGGTGTACAATAAATCTTTACAAAACACTCATTAAATAGTCACTGTCACCTCCGTTTTACAGATGGAACAACAAAAATAGAAAGGTTACAGAATTTGCATAAGTTCATACAAGTAATGTCTGGAACCAGCCAGGATTTGAACCCAAGCAGCTTTTCACCTGAGCCCATATTCTTGACAATGATTTTACCTAAAGCATCATCTTTGAAACTAGAAGAACCTGGATTTGAATTTCAACTACTTAGCAGTTTAATGCACTTAGGCTTTCTTATTAGTTTTTCACCTATAAAGTGGAGATAATAAGGATTAAATGAAAAAGTGCACATACCAGAACAGAGAAATAATAACCACTCAATAATTGTTAGCTGTTACTACTATTTTTAAGTTAAGTGCCGTTGAGTCGATTCTGACCCATAGCGACCCTGTACAGGGTTTCCGAGGGTGCAAATCTTTACAGGAGTAGAAAGCCTCATCTTTCTCCCGCGGAGCGGCTGGTAGTTTCGAACTGCTGACATTGTTTCGTTCTGCTGTGCATGGGGTCGCTGTGAGTCGGATCCGACTCGATGGCACCTGACAACAACAACAACAACTACTATTTTTATAACTTCTGCAAGACTCTATTTAATATACTAGTTTGAGAATATAGTAAAATTAAGCTAAGGAATAACCAGGTCTAAGCAACTGTAAGCAATAAATATGGGCAATATTGTTGTTATTGTTGTTGTTGTTAGGTACCCGAGAGTCAGTTTCAACTCAGCACAACAGAACGAAACACTGCAGAGTCTTGCACCATCCTCACAATTGTTGCTTGTTAGAGGCCATTGTTGTTGCCACTGTATGAATCCATCTCCTTGGGGATCTTTGTCTTTTTGCTGACCCTCCACTTTACCAAGCATGACATCCTTCTCTAGGGACTGGTCCATCCTGATAACATGCCCCAAATACACAGTCAAAATCTAGTCTTCTGGTTTCTAAGGAGAATTCTGGCTGTCCTTATTCCAAGACAAATTTGTTTGCTCTTCTGGTAGTCCTGGTACCTTTAATATTCATCCCCAACACTATCACTCAAATGCATCAATTATTCTATGACCTACCGTATTCACTGTACAACTTTCACATGCAAATGAGGCTATTGAAAATACCAAGGCTTGGGTAAATTGTACCTTAGTCCTCAAACTGATATCTTTACTCTTTAACATTTTAAAGAGGTCTTTTGTAGTAGATTTGACAAATGCAATAATTCATTTGATTTCTTGATTGCTGCTTCCATGAGTGTTAATAATGAATCCAAGCAAAATTAACTATTTGACAACTTCAATCTTTTCTCTCTTTATCATTGTGCTATTTATTTGTCCAGTTGTGCGGATTTTTGTTTTGTTTACATTAAGGTGCAATCCATACTGAAGGCTGTGGTAATTAATCTTAATCAGGAAATATTTTAAGTCCTCTTTGCTTCCAGTAAACAAGATTGAGTCATCTGCATATCACAAATTGTAAATGAGTCTCCCTTCAATCCTGATGCCATGTTCTTCATATAATGTAGCTACTCAGATTATTTACTCATCATACAGATTGAATAAGTATTGTGAAAGGATACAACCCTGGATCACCTTTCCTGATTTTAAATCATTCAATATCCATTCAATATCCTATCAATGTATAATTCCTTTACTGCCTTCCTTATTCATTGTTCAATTTTTACATGCATACAAGGCTATTTATTGAAAATAACAAGGCACATCTTAGACCTCAAACTAACATTTTTGCTCTTCAACACTTTATGGAGGTCTTGTGCAGCAGGTTTGCCTAATGTAATATGTCATTTGATTTCTTGACTGGTACTTCCATGAGTGTTGATAAGAGCATAATGAAGTCTTTGACAACTTCAATCTTTTCTCCATTTACATTTTTTTTCTTTTAAAGTTTTTATTGTGAATTGACTGATAGGTTATAGGACAGAATATCAGTTTTACACTCAACAAATAATATTTTGTTTCATTGCAATGATTACAATCTCCTTCATGCACCAAATAACAGTATTTACCTCAGTTCCCCCCTCCCCCACCTTTTTTTATGTACACAAAACACACAGAGAATATATACTTATTTAAATGTCTGAAGGGTACATTTTGCAAGCCAGCTTCCTGCCTGTAAGCACACGACTTTTCTCATTCCTTGGGCCTAGAGTCCTCAGCTGCTCTATCTCTCTATGCTATCA